CTCAGGGTATAAAAACTCAACTTAACCCTAACTATATATAGTTAGTCTTGAAGGTTCAATTTTAATAACAAATAAGAAGACTCTAGTCGAGACTTCGCGACTACGAGATCCCCTGAACCCTTCGATCAACTGATATTTCAACAATAAATCACACAAACACACGCACGCATTGGCTGAAGTGTGGGCTTACTATGGGAACTTAATTGTTTAATAACTTTTCTTGTCAATGGACTATGATTATAACATGAATATGCATACATTTGTCAAAGCACAAGTCTCTAGTCTTTGAAATACGCCTTTTACAAATATGATGGTGAGCGGGTGGATATAGTAGTGGGACAAAAACTTAAATAAAAAATCCGAAATTGTATAAAATGCATCTAAATATATTTTTGAAATTTGGAGTCTAGTTTAAGAGATGTAGGAGATATTAATTGATTTTCGATAAGGTTTTTATCGATAACAAAATAAAGGAATGAGCTATCGATTTTATTGATATCGATATGCGAGCTATATATATGGACATTTTATAAAAATTTGGAGTCTCTAGCTCTTATATCTTCTGAGATCGACGCGTTCAAGCATACGAACAAGCGGACAGACGGCCAGGGTTAAATTGTATATTAAGCGCGCTTATCGAGTCTATCTAAAAAAATCGATAACGTATTAAAAGCCCTCTCGAAAATCAGTAATATAATTATATTTGCTGCATCTTTAAAGCTAAATATATGTTTATTCAGATGCATTATATACAATTTCAATTTTTTATATAATTTATCCCCCACCACTACCCATAAATCTGTAAAAGGCGTATTTAAAATACAGTTTTAGCAAATATACGCATTTGAATAATATAATCACAATCTGAAAGTTTCATGAATAAAGTATATCCGCAAGAAATATTATTAAGCAATTAAGTAATTAAGTAAGCTCGCACTGCAGCCCGTGTATATTTATGCGTGTGGGCGTATGACTGTCTGTGTTGTTTCTCGTGTAAGCAAAAAGATGCGAATCATGGAAATAGCAGTTGCTCGAAGAGTACAGGGGATATCGTAGTCGAGCAGTCTCGACTAGAGCTTACTTACTTACTTATTTAATAAAATACTTATTTTAATCAGATTTGCACCAGATGCCAGGTGACTAAATGCTGAGACTACATACATATTGATAAATACAGTGTTTGTGTCAAAATTTTTAAACCGTTGTAATGTACGCTTATACACATCTCCAATTATATATAATAATGAATTATAATATCAAACTATTTTGACGGGTTACATAATAGATAAGTTTTTAAAAATAAATTTATTTATCATGTCTATCATATTTGAGAACTCACCGATAAAACTGGCAGCACTCATTATGGCCTTGTACACTGAATTCGTTTCAAAATCGCACTGGGATACAATCGTTATGTATGACATACCCATTGTCTCGTTTATGACCATCATTAGTAAAAGTCCTGATGCAAACAGAATTATCCACTGCACACGTCCAAATCCTTTAACAAATAGTTCTTTAATAGCAGGGTATATATATCACATTTTTAAAACCTTTACCGATTAATTCAAGAACTTCTTCATATTCATGACTATTACTTATGGATTTTCGGGATGGCTTCGATTCTGCATCTTGCTGGTTCACACTCGTCATTTCAAGAGCTGTATTAATTAAGGGAGAAGTAAACGATCCTGACCGAAGCTACTTTGAAATGTGACTGACGAGGCAGAATGTGCTCTCTAACATATAAAGATAGCCAAGATCGTTTGATATGGTTTCCTATGCCCGAGGGGTTTGTCAAGAATTATAGTAGTCTTAACGTAGAAGCCAGTGAAACTTTTTTAACTTCGTGAATACACCACATTTTACATAAATATTTGGATATTATTGCACTATTTACGAGATAGATGTCTTGATCGCTCACGCTCGACTATACGCTGAGTGAAGCCGTGTGAGTATCTTTAAAACTTGTTGACAAGACTTTTGGGCGAAGTCCAAACGAGTTTTTACGCCATTTTGTAGCCGTTTAATCATGGATTCATCACAGTAAACCCGATAGCAAGGAAAATGTAAAAAAAAAATGTTAAAACCGGGTTTCATCGAGTGAACATGAATCAAAGAAGGCCAAGGTGGGTCTGTACGCTGGCAGTATTTTGGGACTCACTTGGTGTCATTAACATCAATTACCTTGATATTAGAACGAACCGGCGAATACTATTTTAATACATCTGCTAGTAAAATATGGACTCGAAGCAAAAGTGGAGTGTCAGAATATTCACTTCGTGTTGAACAGAAGCAATTACCTAGCAATCAGCGACTTATCAAACATCCCTCGAATAGTCACTAAAAATTCAGTTATCAGTGCACAACAAAGATAAATAAGTACGGAGATGACATTGGACTAATTTATTAATTTATGAAATATGTTTCAGTTCGGTGTAAGGAGGCAGGGAAAATTACTGTCAAGATGAACTCCATTGTTGATTGAAGTTGAATATTAAATTGAATGAGATGATTGCTATTAAAACCTTATATACAGTTAATATTCTCTTAAAAACATTTTTTCTTTTGACCTATGCGAAAATGTGAGTATACTTTATAGGTAAAGGTGAAAAAGGCGAAGGTTTGTGTCTACACATATTGTGATGCGATATCAGACTCGTTTCATTCTTGGGTGCGAGTGAGACATATGAAGGTGTTACTGGCAGGCTGCACATGTCACTCATATATGCAGCTATAAACATCTTTATGACTTTTATGACACCTCGCAGTTTAATGTGTGAAAAAGAAAAGTAACACACATTTAAGTTGTTACACATTAATAATAATACTTGTAAACAACGCTGGTTTATTGGGACACGGCACTAGTACCTGGTATCTGCTTCCGTCTGTTTACCTAGTGAAGATGATACTTTATGGCTAGTGAAACTGCTACTGTTGAAATGGTTTTTAGTGGGCATTTTTAGATTGCTCAAAATTAGTTTTTTAACGAATATATGTATTCCTCCAACTTAAAAATATACTTTACAGAAGATAGCTGTACAAAACAATGTAATATAGTTTTGTAATACAAATTTATTGAATATAATGTAATTATTAATAACAATGTAATTAAGTCATTTTTAAATTTCGATATGCCACGCCCCTAAATAAGCGGAACAATTATTTTTGGATCATCGATAGAGGAGGTTAGCTTAACTGTAGGAGACATACACTTTAGCACGCCCCCTGTGGGCGGACATACATACATATTACTGCCAAACCTTTTTGGTCTTGGGTGGTCAGCTCAAGTACATATATATACCAAATTTTAACATCTCTAAAATATAGCAGAACTTTAAAAATCACTATATCTTCAGGTTCGATTTGCAAAGCCCCTAGTCGAAGTTGACGTATTTTATTTAATCATACCATTAACTCATATTGAAAATTTTAATGTTATAGCTTTAAAACTCTAGGAGATACAGTTTTATCCGCATTGCCACGCCTCCAATGGGCGTAGATATATCCGCCATATTTTGTTGATTTGTGTGATCAACACGAATCCGCATTCCAAATTTCAGCTTTCTAGATCTTGAACTATATGATTTTTGGTATATCGGAAAATGTTTTGTAATTTATTGACTTTGAATACCACTCCTCCTTCGCCTAGCAATTTGTGCTTCGGAATAATATATGTATGTTCTCAGAGTTTCATGAAGATACTCCCACTACAAGAAATTTACAAGCAAATTCCCATAATATTGCCTAAGCTGCAGCGCAGAGCATGCGTAGTCGCTGCCAATTGCCACTGACCAAAGTGCTATTGAGCAGTTAGCAGAGCGCGGGATTGCATCATGATGCATGTGTTGCGTATGGATGTGTATGTAAGTATGCATAAAAGAAGTACAGAATGATTACAACAATATGAGCTTATATATATTCTTTTCTATATATATTCTATTCTATATATATTCTTTTCAATATGAATGCCCCAAACATACATATGTATATATATATATGAGTATATATATATATATATATATATATATATATATATACTCATATAT